ARKTMMWWAAARSCMAAWTYSKTTTTTTTAAAYCATCCTAAGAGGAAAGTCAGCTCAGAGATTCAAGCATCTTTTGAAAGACTGCTCTAAAACCTTCATCACTGTCTTCAATAGAAATATTTATAATAGAGAATAATAAATAAATACAATGTGTCATCATGTCACAGTGCAGCCTTTGACTGAATCCCTGCACCTGTCWCGAGGCTGTACCGCTGTGTACTGTTTATCCATCCCAGCGCCCTGCTGCGGCAGTGTATGAATGGATTCGGTTGTCCTTGGAGGCTTCTGGAGACATTATATCGCCTCGCAGCCTGCTAATGCACAGACGCGCCTCTGTGCTTGTCCATCTCTTTACGGGCGTACACAACCATGTGGTGTATTACAAAGGAAGACAAAGAGATTGCATCACAGATCCGCTACTCTTAATTATGCAGCCGCCTCCTTCCCAACACTTGTGATTTATTGATGAAGAGCACGGTACCCCTTTGAGTACATGTGTTGACTAGCACGTGTTTAAACAGTGTTTGCCTTACCGGTTAGAACTGATGTCGAAAAATCAGATCACCAGCGGGATAGCTGTTTATGTATTGTTGTGTTTGACTAGCACAGCCAAAAGATTGCCCATGCTGTGAAGTGATGTTCTTGGACTTAACGTCCGCTGAAACSAACATTACTATCAGCTACCACCTCAAGCAAGCCGCTCTACAGCCTCCACAGCTGTAATACTGAAATTAGACTTGGAGGCAAGGCCTGATTTACATATTAAACAGCAGCTGCACAGGATTTGTTGTTGTTTTATTTGTTTTCTTCTTTCATCAGAAGCCGTTATAGTGAATTCTATCACTGTGGAATTGTGGAGCATCCTGGCATCGCTGCAAAGCTGTCTTTCTGTCGAGAGCCACTGCTTCCTTGATGACTAAAATGCTTCTGTTTCTGTGCCTATGTTGCCATGACTTTATAAACATTTTAACATATGATAWACTCTCTGTAGCAGTGTTGTTTAATTCCAGCATTGACACGGATTGACAGGCTGGCCACATAATAAAATGTGGTTTTAAACAACATATTGTGAACTTTAGCTGAGCAGCTAAAATGTAAGACAACCAAACCACATTTTGATTTTTTTTTATATTTATTTTGGTCTGGAAGCTATTTTGGTAAAAAAAATATCATAAAAAATAAAACATTTTCAATATACTAAATTGCTTTGCAAAGGCAGTGTACCTGCASACATTAAATGAAGTCAAATTACTTTCTTTCTACCAGGTCTGTGTTTGAATTGTAATAAATTTTTTAAAATCCAAGAATTTAATCACTCTTGCCAAGTCCCACTTAACATTTTGAAGTCCAATTTACACCTCGGTAGTAGGGGCCCTTGTCCTTGAAAATTGCTTCCATTAACTTTTGTACAATGTTCCTGCCTATCAAACAGTCAGAGGGGCTTTTGGAGTGAGGTAAATGCTTTTGTTAGCAGGAAAAATCAAAGCCTCAGTGGAGATAATGTGCTGCCTCACATATAAAGGCTGTAAATCCAGCAAAAAGGGCGGGAAAAATCCTCTTTAATTACATGGAGTCAGAAAATAATGAGAAATGTTTATAAATTTAATGTAAGCGTTCATTAATGCACTACTTTGTTTCTTATTGTTTAAAATATTTTGTGTATTTCATGTGTTGTTAAAAATCAGTAAAAAAAATCTGTGGGAATGTGGTGCAAAGCTGCTTTTAAATTGAATAATAAATGTATTGAATTATTTAAAGTGGTATCAATTTTACAGTATTCTGGCCTGGATGTGTAAAGAGTAGCTGTACACATATGAACTTTTTGCTTGATAAGTGAAATACTGTTTTCTGAAGGAGTAACATTAGCAATCATTGCACTCCTGCCTGGTGAGACAGACCAACCAGAGGCGAACATTTTGAATTTCCTGCTGCGAGGCAAATATTGTACAGAAGATTATACTGTAATTCCACATTTAATACGCTCCGGTTTGCTCTTATCCAGAGGCGTAAGATGTTAATGGGTGATTGCACAACTGATGTATAGCCAAGAATGATTATGAATGCCGTTTAACAAATGAATCTCTCACCGCTCCCGAGTAATAATTCATCTTGAGATATTTTCCTCTCTGGCTGCAATCATTTACACCATGCTAAGAGAGCAGTGTTTTTCATTTACGGGAAAAGTGGCAGATGTATGGCCGTGCTTCGGCGTACGTCGCAGGCAGAGTGGATACACTCATTTGGGGAGAAATGAAGTCGTGCTCCCCGCAGAAACAGGCGAGGTTAAGACCCCTTCTCTGAGCCACATTGTGGATACTTGGAAGCCGCAGCTGGAGTCAGAATTTAATAAGTGATCCTTYAGGTAAACCGGTGAGACTGGAGGAGAAGTGGCTCAAGGACAATGGAATCATAGATGGGCTTCTGAGAGTGCATGATGATGGGACTCCATTGTTAAAATGTCATAGGCTAAGATGGTGAGTGTAATGGTATGTGTTGTCATGACTGTCTGGCTTTATGGTCTTTTCCCTAGAGAGTGGATGGACGTGCTCAGCCCTCCTATTATGCCTCCAAGCCAGCAGAGAAGGTCAGGCTCCGCACAGAACAATTTGGAAAGACTAGGCAGAGGTATGGTAACCTTCATTATAGTCCTTTTACCCCCGGACCGCCTTTTGATGTCCTTGGGAGTGCGTAAGACAGCAAACAGACCGATGCTTTAACACTAGTTACACTAAAGCTAATGGAAACAGTCATTGGTGACAGAGCTTTTAGAGATGTTACATTTCCTCCAAGGATGCGCTGCACAGCGTCGTGAGGCTGCAAGTGAAGGTGTATCTAATTAGAGCTTAAAGGGAAAAAAAAACACCAGAAGAGTGAAGCTGTTTGTCCTCCACATAGGTCAGAAGAGACAGGCTCATTACAGGTCTGAACCCCCCGCCCCCCAGACATATCCGCAAGGTTAACTGATGAGACTTTTCCAGTTTACTACATCATTTTAAAACCCCTTACATCACGTGTCATGTAATTAGTTTTCATTATTGTTGCCCAAGTTTCAGGTGAGACAAAAAAAAAATACGCTCATCTCAATCCATTCCATAACCTTTTTTAGCATTTAACTGCCTGTCAATTTAACAGCTCAATTCTTATGCTTTAAGGTAGTGAGGGATTACAGGGAATCTCTTTACAGCTTCATAATTTGGTGCTGCGTCTGGGTGTCTTAGGGCTTGATTGATTAGGGAAAAAATGGCAGCGGCAGAAAACTTTTAAATCCACATGAGTCTGAAGGTCACCTAACCACCAAGCTTCTAATTCCATTTTATTTAAAGCTGACAGAGTAGGCCCCTCATTCATATCTGGCATGGCAAATTCAGTCTACATTGAAAAATGAGAAATCATACATTCATCTTTTTATCTGTGCAATCTTGTTTCATTTTTATRTTTTGAACATAAAAGGTTTCAGAGTGATTTTTTGGCTTTAATACAGGAGAGGATGGGCTGGTGAAAGAAGAGGAGAATGAAGATGAATATTTGAAACTGCTCTATGATCCTTGCCTCAACTGCTATTTCGATCCTGAGACAGGAAAGTACTATGAGCTAGCTTAACTGGAAGCCCATTAGAATCAGAAATAATGAATCACATTAACAGCGAATGAATTGCTTCTGTACTTTTATTTCATTATATTTCATTTTTTTAGGCCGAGCTTATTGATTGAAAGCCGATTCTCCATTCATAAAAACCCTTTCTGTGTTTTTGTTCTTGGAAACTATCGACAGCTTTGTGCCGCTATAGTCATGTTAAGGTTTTGGGGAAACTCACCAAATCGAATGCATGCCCTTTTTTTCCAAGAAAGTGATCATTCACTTGCACATCTGATGACAAAATGAGTTCTTTATGAAAAGTCTTGGCTGGGAAATGGATATGGGTGCTTTCTAAAAGAACACACTAGAGCTTCTTTTATAAATGACATTGAAAATTTAGTTGGATTTAATGGAATTTTTTAGTCAGAATGTATGCAAAAAAAAACTGTCATAAAATATGTTTCTGTGTATCCACCGTATTGTGGTATTTTTTGTGTGTGTTATTTGGAATAAATGTTTTGACAAATGGTTTTGGTTCCAGTTTWTTTATTTATTTTTTTCTTGTGTGTGAGTGTGCTTGTGTTTCTTTTAAATTGGACAGCGTTGCACAGAATACAGGAGGGGGAGGAAGCATGATTGATTTTAATTCATCTGAATGCATTTGAAATACTCCAGGCTTTTTTTTTTTCCATGGCGCGTAACTGAAACAGGGTAACAGCAGGTGGGCTGCAGATGAGGCCAGCAGGTCTTTGAGCCAGTTTTGCCACTACGCTCGTCACACCTGAAAGCAAATGGGGATATCGATTCATAATTTTGTGGCCGGTAACAATTACTGGAGAAAATGAAACAATAAAAAAATGGAAAAACAGCACTTGTGGTGTTCAGTTATTCCTAATTTTATTAGATTTTGTTCAGTATCCTGGAGTGAAACATGATAACATGTGCACAACTGTATTTTTTTATAACGTTCAAGACAAAATTGGCATCAGGAAAACCTTGGACGTGGATTTCATTGTTTCAGTTATAATTCTCTCATGCCTGACAAAATCTGGAAATTGTGCAGCAGCAGGAGTCTTGAAAAGACATTGAACGTTACATAAGGAGMCGTCATAAATTAACCACAAGTCATATATTTTAAACATGGTCTCAATGTTTTAWATCATAATGCATGACTGCCTGGAGTGTGGCAGGGGATCAGCTTGTGAATTTGACTTCTCTGCTTCTGTATGAAAAGTTGATCAAACTGGAGCTAAAGAAATCCGGAAGTGGGCGTGGAAATAGGTGCGAGGAACCAGGAAGTAAACAAACTGCTGCGCTTCGAGAAAAGAAGTTTGCGGAAGTATTCAACTTCTTTTACTAGCGTATGCTCGGATAAAATTCAGTCTTCGCGATGAGAATTGGTTAATTCATATCTGAAGTTGTCAAAGATGTCAGAACAACAGGTAAATAAGTCTAAAATGGGTTTGAGTCTTTAAAATAACTGTTGAAAGTGCTTTTTACAGTCGTTAGCTTAGGTCGTAGAAGTTAAACGTGGTCTAAGTTGTTTAAAACAATTAGTAGAAACAAAGCATGTCGATAAATCGATAAWAGTGTGAGGAAGAAATGATAAATTGTTTTGCTCTGACTGAAGACACTCTGCTTCTGTATGAAAGGAGTGAAACATGATAACATGTTTCACTCCTTTACACTCCAGTATAAGTAATACTGAGTCACGTGACGTCGTGTTCTTGACACTTTATATATTTATATGGTTCCTGAACTATTGAGTCATTCTAGTTAAATGTGTTTCAGTCATTTGTGCTCAGAATTAAAATATAAATACTATGACTCGTAGATGAGTAAAAAAATAAAAATGGAATATCTTTTGAAGAACCATCATTTTGACCTTTAATAGTATGCATACACTTTAGATAACAAAACGAGTTATAAATCAAGGCAATGTTTACTTTTAGGTTCATATTGAACTTCATGTCATGGCTCTGCAACATTTACAGTCTAAAAAGCCATTTCTTCCCATTTTATCACTAAATACATTTGTCCAGAGCTGCAAAAGTTGGAAGACTGAAATAAAAAAAAGTAAATAAATAAATGTCAACGTGTTACTTGTTTTACATTATAGAACAAAATTAGACTCTTTACATTTATTAGTATTTTAAAATTTCAGGTTATGAAGAAGAACCTTTCTGTTTCGGGACATTTCCTTTAAAATAACTTATGGCCTAAATAACAAAACAGGTCAATAAACAAGCAGATGGCAAAGTGTTTAGAATTTATCATCTTGTCATAATTAGTATGCGAGGAACATCATCACAGGTGGATTAGAGAACTAGGAAAAGAGAGACATTTAGACAATAAAGTGGTCATTTTTCTCACTTAAAAAAAGAAAACTTAAAATCAATGAAATAAAAGCCGCTTGTAGAGATTTAACCAGTAGATTCCTGAAAATGATATAAGGGAGCCATACTCAGAAATGGTTTGTCATAATTCAATATGTTACTTGAGCGGGCACAGAATGAAGKACTTCTTAGTACTCCGGATTTTCTGGTATTATGTGTCTCTGCTTGGAGTGCAGAGAGACATTAACTAGTGGTAATGAGTCATCACTAGTTTTGTGCTTTTCACCAGTCCACTCTAAGGTTCATTAGAAATTATTAAGGAAGCACTTTGGATTAGGCAGTTATCAAGTATTCCCAATTTGTTTCTTACTTCATTTTTAATTAGCCCATCATTAACTGATCATTAGCCACCTTAAAGGGTTTAATTAGGAGTTACTCACCAACTAAAGCTCAACCAAGTTGTTCCTTATTTGTTTTAAGGTAAGTAGTCGAAATTTACTCTTTATAGCTGAAATATCTAGTCAGGTTGAGACTGCGTGGCARTTATTTCTATTCAAATGTCAAGAAATTACTGGGAAAATCCACTTTGACATTATACAGTTATAAAAGTAGTAGTTGTAAAGCTTTGCAGTAATAGCAATAAGGCTATAAGTCGTCATTTGTAATTCTTAATAAAAGTTTAATAAAAAAATGAACCTACAGTACGCCCCAACAAATTCATCTCATCTGTTTTTTTTTTTCAGAAGAACAGGTAAAATGTCTGTGTTTTATATTAGACCATTAGATTCTGAACCTTATCTGCATAGTTTACTCAACAAAACTGAGCATAAATGTGTTCCAAGTAGACATTAAAACTGTCAGACTTCTCTACCTCACAGTGCTCTTCTAATGGACCGAGTTAATGTTGACCTGGTTTTAGTCCCTTTAGCTGTTTTTATTGATAAACAAACGGGATAGCTGGCATCGGGTGACTAATTTTGCTTTAAAGTTGTTGTTTTTTTTAGGAGCACATAAGCCTATGGTGACTGTTCGGTGACATCGGATAAAAAAATTACCTTGTATTTATGCATTACTATCTCGTGGCCACAAGATAAATAATGTGTGGCCATAAGATTGTTGGAGTCAGATTATTGAATCCCATCCCGGGTACTCCGGTTTCCTCCCACAGACCAAAAACATAAATGTTAGGCTAATTGGTAACTATAAATTTTCATAATTTGTCATAGTATTTATAAATGACAATGAAGTCCCTAAGTGTGTCAGAAACATTTTTTTTCATTGTGTTGGTGAATGTGACATAATTCTGACTCCTGCTAAGGAGAGGGGAGCCTGTTTTAGTGTTTTTTCCCCCCATGACATTGAATGAGTGCATTTTATTACTATATGTTTACTCTTAACATAGGCATTAATCAGTCAATGTTAATGTGGTCCAAGTGACACCCTACAATCGAAGCTCATCACCSTTTGATTGGTTTTTGTGTCGTACACCGCCACGTGTGATAAATTGGTCCAGTTGAGGTTGTTATTTTTGGTCACGCTCGCTGTGCATCCTAATTACTGCTGCAGACACTAATGTTCACCAACTGTAAATGATCCCATGCACAGCCCGTCATTTAAAGGCACTATAGACCAGTAGATGATGTGCATAATTACTGATTGTCAAACGAAAAAGTTTTCTTTGTGCTTACTCAGAGCTTCCCCAGCCCTGCTGCTGAGCTTTTAGGCCGAGCACCGAGATGATTTATAACCCGACGCTGTTCAGCTGTCATATCTCCTGCGTGTATTTCCTTTTTATCTGTGCCACACATCATGAACTGAGCTGTTAGCTTTATGGGCTCTTTAACTACCCCACTGTTACATCTTATTGGATTCATTTGTCTTTTTAGGCCAGTTTAAGGCTTCACCCCGGCATTATTGCATCGGTGATCCTAGTCTGTGTGGTGGCGGCCGCCGCTGCCGTATTGATCATCCGAAAATACTGCTTCCCCGTCAAGTAAGCAGGCTTGATTAATGGGCTGTAACGTGATTATTTTACACCATTAGCACGAGGGAAAACTCATCAGCCCGGTCTGTCGCCTAACTTTATTCCAGCAAGGCGACGTACAGATACTCTTTGCTGAAGAGGATGGAGGAGCAGCAGCAGGCGGAGGAAGATGGCGACAGTGGGGCGTCCACAGTGGGAGAGGAGTCAGACGAGGTCAGTGCATTGTGGCTTAGCTTTCACTCTCGCTCTGTCCCCTCAGAACAAGTCAACATAACCTTCCTCATCACATGCCACTTCCTTTTTTTGTTCTCATGACAGGAGCTTTTGGAATAAATCTCCAACCGGGACGCTGCCGGACCGACTGAAAAGGAGTTCATTATCGATGGATTATGTGATTCTAAAGGGCGGCTGATGACGGTTTTTTGTGCTTCTTTTTTTTTTTAATAACCTGCAGGTGATTTTTAAAATTTGTTTAACTCACCACGTATTCTTGACTGCATTTAAAGAGCATAAATTAGTAGTAACAGCTGCTGATTGATTTCTGATTGCACCGTTTGTGAATTTATTTATTCAAATTCTGCTCAGACTTTTATCTTCTTTTGTTTGATGTGAAGTATTGATCCTGGTTYGTAGGCTCTCTGATGAGTTAAGCATTTTTTTTCTTTTTGCTATTGAGAACAGATACAGTAAAACTCGATGCCTTTGAAGTGACATCAAGCTGCTGAGAAGAAGCAATAATCTTTGGCCTAGTTTTTACCTCTCAGGCTACATATAAGCTGCGGTCGGACCGTCTGATAGGTGAAGGTTGTAGCTGCAGGCGTGACTCAGGGCTGAGGGAAAAAAGAAACTTGAAAAGTTGTCTTTTTTGTCAGTATTTGTGAAAAAAATATGCTCTAATAGAACATTAATCAAATATTTAATAGCAGATACTGCAGTAAAAAAGGCAAAATATCAGAGGCCTAATACATATTTTTGTGTGTGAAAAAATAAGGTTACACTGGATTTGAGCCTCATAAAGTCTAAACTTCTATTGATTTAAAAGAGAACATTAGTTTCATGTTTTACTGTTTATCTATGTTGATGGGATTTTTGTTGTTTTGTGTTTGATCCCACTAAGATTTATCTTTTTTATTTAGCTTTCTCTTTTCGAATCCATATGCAGTCAGTATATTACCTGCAGCACAGTAAGAAGACACGGTCACGTCACTCTTTGGTGCAGACTGCTAAAATGAAACATTTAGGTTAACGACATTTACTCGTCACTGTTAACTATAGATGACCATATTTGGAAAAGGAGGAGGAGCTAAATACTGACGTGTGAAAACTGGACAAAAATACTTACAGTAAGAGCCTAATATTTTTTAAATGACATTTTTTAAGAAAGGATCAGCGGCACACTGGTCAGAAAAAAGCTAAACTAGTGAAAGAATTTAGTGTTTTCTAAAAGAAAAATATATTTTTGAAAGAAATATTTTTAAGAAAAATACATATTTGGTGTCTGTCAGTGATTTTACACTTTAAATGAATCGTTTAGAAGTGGAATTCTATGGTAAAATTTTGAATAGTTAATATCTTAACTGCTAAAGATAGCTCGTAAAAAAATGTAGTTTAATTCTAGCCAGACTGACGAGCAAATGGCTAGTCTGAGCAGAACCAATACTAAAGGGGACTGCTGCCATCTTAAAATAGCTTCAATTTAAAACATTTTAAAAGTGTTTTACTTCAAGTGTATTTTACACTAACGTCAGTTTTCTCTTTGCACAATTACTCTGGCAGAAATAGAATTGTACTTGATAGAAGAGCAATAGCTAGCTGCTGCTGTTACTGTTTATGCTTGGAGATTATGTAATGTTACTGAGAAATATAAAAATGATAATTGCGGGAAGGTTGATAAAACGAGTTTGGTCAAAATTAACCTTTTATTTTAGAAGGAGGTCATTTAAAAAGCTATCTTCCACAGGTAAGATACTATTTATTCATAATATTGTGCAGACCCCCATTTCAGAAGCGCTAAACTATTTTGAGTTACTTTAGTTGTTTCATTTGTGTCTGACATTGAACATATATTTCTATTTTTCATGGTTATTTTATACATAGATTGTGTTTTTAAATAATACTATGAAAAGTACAATAATAGGGGGCATTGTGCAAAAGTCAAATGCGCAACAAAAGGAAATTAAAGCAGAAACACAGTTGATTTATCATAAAACAAAAACAAAACAAAAAACTTTACACTCCCTAAACTAAGAGTACCAATCAACTATTTACAACWTACTGATCTATTTTTAATGTTTTCTTAATGCCCAGATTTTAAAAAATGCGATGTATTTGTTTAATAAGTAAACTTTTATAAAAAAAAAAGAAACGTCAAACTTTGAGTTGTCTAAACATATAAGGTACATTTATTCAAACATTTCTCAGTGCAGAAGAAAGTAAAGAAAATGTAATAAACAAACGTGAGGGATTAAGTCTAACTTATTTGTACATATTTTTGACTTCCCTCACAGGTTCATCAATATTTTAATAAAGCAAAACATAGTTCACTCTTCACAGCAGGGCCTGAAAGGTAAAAAAAAWWAAAAAGCAWCTGTTTGCATTTGAAGAAAGAAAAAGGGGGAACCAATAAAACTGGGTTTAAGTGTAAGTAACATGTAGAACATTTTCACAGTTTCACAGGAGTGGAGCTGTTATAGCGCTCTTTTCAAAGCAACCAGACTCCTTTGAAAAAAGTGATAATTTTACCTCACAAATCGCACGCTTTGCTTCTCTGTGAAGGCATCAATCTTTAGATCCAAAACCGTTGTTGTTAAAAAAGATGCACACAGATGAGCTACAAATGCTTTTTACTTTCTTAAATAAATGGATTTAAAGAGAAACAGCTAATGGATTAAGTTGTTTTAAAAAAATGGAGATAATTTAGATTTAAACCAAATAAAGTTGTTTGGCCGTAAAGCCCAACGTTAATAACTTCCTCAGATGTAGTCGGTGTGTGTCTGGGAGAACAAATGGAAAGCATTATTTCCCTGGCAGAGTAATAAATGTTGTTAATTAGCAAGTGGAGCTTTATAAATGTGCACCTTTAAGTTCATGCAGCTTTAGTGTGGATCTGAACGCGACCACATAAGCAGCAGTCGTCTTAAACTAGATTTATCGGTTTGTATTTATTTTCAACTGATCCCGCTGCTAAAAMTAAAACTCTGTAGCTGTCTACCTCGTTCTCTTTTAAAACAATTTCCTTTTTCATGCTAACATTAACCCACTTTAGGTCAATTTGTTGATTCTTAAACGGACGTCCGGGCTGCGGGGGACGTTGCGCGACAGTTTTTGACAGCTTACCGACAAAAAATGAATAAAAAAAGGAGGAGTAAGAATAAAGAGAGAATTGCACCTGCCAGGGAGTTGCAATAGAATGCTGTGMTGCTGTGAGCCTGAGTGTCACAGGATGCCAGTGGCGGTTCATGATGAATGATTAATCAGAAATTACCTCACAGTGTTTTCTTTCRCTCTCTTCTCTCATTGTGATCAACAAATGATGTGATAAAAGCAGACGGCTGGGCTTCGGTCTGCTTTTATGTTTTGACGTATCATTACTGGAATGAACGCAGCTTCTCTGCAGTTGCTGGTGTGTATCATATGTGTGAATGTTTGAGAAATATAAATGTTAAGTAATTAAAAATGATCCAAACTGCTGTTTGAGTTGTTTTCTCATATTTTCTCATCTCTAAAAGGAGATTAAATTGTATTAGAAAGGCTGTGTTGAAGTATTATCTTTACTGTTTTGCAGTAAATTACAGTGAATGCTTATTTAAAATTGAGTAATAAAAAAACAACAACATAGCGCTTCTTCATGTAATGCATATCACCTGCTGCCTTTCATACCCAAACATTAGACTGAGATTATTTGAGTTGTGTTTTTGCCAGACCCTAAAAATTATGCTTATAATCATGCTCAATCTCTTAATGTCATGAGACATACTCCAGTTGTTGTGACTGACTCTCAAATATTACCACATCAAATTCTGTTTCAGTATTTGTAAAACTGACTGTATTTTAGCCATTTATTCACTGGCTGTTATTTATTAGCTGAGGTGGCTGTTTTTGAATTGCTCAGACTCCAAAAGTAATCAGCTAGAAACGTATGCCCTGTGTTTACTTTATAAAAAATGTCATTAAAAGCCATACAGTGGTTCATGAGATATTTTGCTAACAGACATACTGTACAAGGTTGACTCCAAAAGTTAATGTTAACATTTTAGGGGAAGAACTTGTGCAATGAGTAGTACTTACAGCTTCTGGTGTGACTGACTCACAGCTGCTACCACACAAAGTTTTAGCTTAATATTTGTGAAATTGACTGAGTTATAGTCCTTCTTGTGTTTTCTAATATCAGTTGGCTATGGTGGCCRTCTTGAATTGTTTTGTCTCCAAAATTCAAACTTTTGTAGAGGTTCATTCAGGGATTATTTCCTGAAAGTTTCATTAAAATCTATAAAGGGGTTCATGAGATATTTAGCTAACAGACAATCAGAGTTTAACTTCAAATCGTTCAAACATATTTTTAACAAAGATTATCTGTTAGTGCTCAAAATATGTGTTATGGATCGGTGTCAGCTACTACAGTAAATTTTGGGCCAATRTTTGAAAAAGTGACTGAGTTAGAGGGTTTTTTTAAGGTGAGTTGTGGCAGCCCTCTTGAAGTGGGTTGGGTTCAAAAGTTAATCAGATGCACAATCCATCCAATAAATAAGCTACTGTCTGCAAAGTTTCTTAAAATGTGTCCAATGGTTCATGATATATTTTGTTAAMAAACAGGTACTAAACAATTATTTTCAGCTTTCAGCGGTGGGTGATCATRAAAACCATAAATGACTGGTTATAGTTCCCCCCCCCAGCTGTCTGATCAGTGAATGGCAGTACACAAAGACCCTCTACTGGCTCCACCTGGTATTACACCATGAGCTGCTGATGTAAAAGGACGTTTTGAACATTTAAAATATTACTCAAATATTTCAACTTCGCTCAAACCAGCTTGATTTGCTGAGAACACACAAAACCTACAAAAATAAAAYAATAAAATTAAAAGCTGCTGGTTTTATAKCCCCCAGCTTTACTGTGTTGATATTTTAGTGCCGGTCATTTTATAGATTAATGTATTTTCAAATAAAAATGGTTTCAGTGCAGGAGGGCAGCAGTCTTGTGGGAGGGAGGCTGCTTTATGCCAAAAGTGCATATTTCTAAAACTTTTATCTTCAGCTAATTTTCTTTTTTGAGTTTTGTGATCATAAAAGTAGAAAAAACAACAAAGTCATTTTAGCCAATCTGAACGTTTAAAAGGAAATTTTGTCAGAACATACCCAAGGTGATATTTTGAAGAAAGCTGTGTTCRTGAACAGACTGAAACAAGCTTCTGTCTGCAGATACAGTAAAATATCTCCAATATAACAGATGCAAAATGCATCTTTGTGACATTTACTTGATTTTGAAAAACATTTTTCTTTAATTAAAGCTCAACATTTTTTTATCTCCCAACCCCAAACGATAAAAGGCGGGTGTCTGGGCGTGTATTTGAGTTTGTTAGCAAAATATTTCATGAACCTGTCAACAGATTTTATWCAAATGTGCATCTACAGCTCATTAACTTTTGGAGTCAATCCAATTTAAGATGRCTGCCAMAGCCAATCGGTGTTAGTCAAYACAAAAATGGCTATAACACCGTCARTTTTACAGTTWTATGTGGTCGTAGCTGAATTTCAKCCCCAAYACATAATCTGAGTGCTAAGAAATTGTGAGATTTTCTGATTTTAATGCAATTGTGAATRAAGGTATTTTCAAGGTTTGTACATAAAAGCTAAAATGTAAGTTTGGAAGATTATCTGAATTTAAAACGTTTCCTCAAGGAATGCAAGTCTTCAATTCTTTGCTTTTCTTCATAGTTTTGCAGATATTTTTGTCTCTTTGTTGGATTAATCTGCCCCTGGTAAAACAAAACRACATTAAACAAACAAAAACCCCAACATGTCCACATCATATGCTGACATCTACCACAAACGAAGAGCTGCAGGTGGTTGTGTTGGATCTGACCACACCCTGATCCTGATAAAGCAACATCTTGTATCCATCTTCAGAAAGCTCTACTTCTGTTATGATCATAAACTCTGCGTTCTGCTTTTTTTTCATCATTGAGTGGTTGTTTATTTAACTCTGCCTTCATTTTATTTTTTCTGTGAAAGAAATTCTAGCATAATCTCATCTGCRCACACTGTAGATTCCTGACTGCCATTATTGCACAACCGTACGAGCGTCTGTATACGCACCACCCCACCACACACACACACACACACCATCTGTACACTAGTTTTTATTGCAATACAATCTGCAGGTGTACTTTTTGTGGTTTTATTTTATGCCGTTTTGCACACTTTAATGTTATTTTATTGTTTGTTTCTCTCCTTTTTTGCTACTACTGTTATAAACTTCTTATAAAAAAATCCCACTTGTATGGTTTATTTGACACAGAAAGTCCTATTTGTTCCAATTATCTCCATGAAGATAAAAGTTCAGGCTACACTACAAATCAAGGTTCAGCTGGAGGACAAAAGTTCTCCGTTGTTGCTTTAAAGCACTGGTTTTCAATTGCATGGGCCACCAAAAGACTTTCTTTTTTAAAAWTTTATTTATTTATTTATTCTTTTTTTTGCTAGCAGAAAATATATATTCAAATTATTTTACTGTCACCTATGCTACTTTTAGTCATCATGTTATCAACTCTCYAAAGGGAGCAGAAGAGAAACCAAAGGCCAGATGTGGGAATTACCATAAATGCTAGAAAAGCTGTGCCACCTAAATTGAATTCTTGTAAATTGTAGAAAAKCAATCTACATATCAACATTTGTCTGGTTCAGTTCTGGCCCACATACCCCAAAAAATGATAGTCCTTTGTGGCCCAGATGTGGTTTGCCAGAGGTGGTCCATTCATGGGCCAGCACCACATAAACCAAACCACAACTGGGACAGCTATCTTTAAAAACAGTACCATCTCTCTGCCAGATCAGGCCTAAATCCAGTTAATAAACCACTTGCCATGCCAGTAGTGCCAGCTTGACACCAGATCTGGCCCACAATTGTCTGYTATACTTGCTAAGATTACTTACACCAAACTGTAGACAAGCTATGCTACCTAAAATAAATTACCATAAATGCTAGAAAAGCCGCACTGCCTAAACKAAATAACTGTGTATGTGTATTTATTTATTAAAAAGCTGTTCTATGCAACACAAATTATTAGAAATTCTTTGAAACCCGTGCCTCTAAAATTGAATTACTTTAAAATGTAAAAGAAAAAAGACTGCAGCATTTAAACTGAATTACCATACATATGGGCAAAACTCTTCTGCATTAAATAAAAGAATACATCATTGTAGAAAAGTTGCACCCCTAAATAAAAAAATAGATAAAAGCAATGTTTTAAAAGTAAAAGCAGGCACTCAGTGTGGCACTCAGGGGCAGAGCCAGGGGGTGGCCAGGGGTGGCTATAGCCACCATATAAAAAAAATCCCTCCCCAACCAGGGCTTTGCCAGCAACATTTTAACAATTTTATTTYAAAGAATGTTAATCTCAATTACCGTAAAGGCAGGAAAAGCTGTGCCATGTCATACAAATTACTGTAAATGYGGGAAAACTTGCACCACCTAAAATGAATGAAAATTTCTGAGTATATCTTTAAGATAAAATCATCCAGCTTGCCCTGTTTTGGGTATAGTTCCATTTTACTTTGAGCTTAGGTCACACTGTAATCCCAGGATCTTGAGCCCAATTTTAAAGGATTACTTTTTTCAGTCTGACTTAAAGCTTTTTTTTCACCAACATTGTTGCCTCCCTTTAAAACTATGAAGCTAAATACCACTGTGATGACACGCTGCAGTACTACCCTCCCTGTTAGGCACGGTTCCAGGTTGCAGAATTAATTTCACATCTGATTCTATGTTGCTTTTTAGTTTCTTATCAAGAAAATGTGTTTTCTACGGCTTTAGTTTTAATCCTTTGATTGTTTTTTTTCCATAGTCTCTTGTGGTTTGTGTGTGAGCTGCTTTATGCAGATATGGGTTTTACTAAAATTTACATACAAATAGAAAACCCTGACAACTGCCACAGTGATTCTTTAACCCTTTTTTTCATATATATGTGCAATTTGAAATATGAGTCGTTTGGCCCCATTTTTCTCGTTTTTCTCTCCTCATCTGTCAGTTGCTCCTTATTTGCATACAAGTTCAAAGCTTGTGCTTCAGGATATCTGGTATTTGATTCTATTTTCTTTGTTTTGTTTTGTTTTTAACTCCGAAATAGAAACTTGAAATTCAAGTTCGCAATGGGTGTGCTAGTTAAGCGTTCATGTATTATCTGCGCATCCTGGTTTATGCAAGCGAGAGCTCTGACAAGCATTTCTTGTCTTTTCACTGATACGACTGCTTGACCCACAAGAGATAGCTGTTAGATGTTTTCACAGATGATCTGACACCAAAGCTCTTCTGGAGCTGTGAGCAGAATTCCATTCAAAAGGATTCCTTGACAGAAAATAAAAGCCTTTCTTGTTGCAGACATGAGGAATCGAGGTAAGACTTGACTTCAGAACTGCTAGTTTTGGTTGTCTGACTCCTAATCGTCATCTGGGTTTATTTTTTTTCCTTCCTTTTGGCAGCTGTTCTGATGCTTACTGCTGCAGCTGTGTTCCTCTTCATCACCATCAGGTTTTTTATGAATTCGGTTGATGAACATGAGAAATCGAAAAAAAAATTTAGTGAGCAAATTTCTTTTTTCTGATTTAAAATCTTACACCCTGAACATTTTGTGTCATCTCAGTTTCACAATCTTCTTTCTCCCCCTTTTTTTTTCCTTTCTAAGGGTTTTATGAAATTAAACGAAACCTTGAAGCAGGTTAGTTTTTTCCCCCAGTTTGGAACACATTCAGGCACACATTTGCTCTGTTTTAGGTTCAGTTTAATATCAATTTACAATTTTATTCTTTCTGATCTACTTCTTCAGATAYGGACACATCAAAACCAAAGTGCAACCTCCCCAGAGTTTGTCCCGAGGACCACTATGCTTTTAGACTTCGGAGYGGCGCTGCTAACGTTGTTGGGCCACAGATCTGTTTTGATGGAAAAAAGTCGGTATTAAAAATAAGTTATTACCAAAAGAAAGAAAACCAACAACACAGTAAATTTGCTCATGTTTGTCTGTTGTCTCAACAGCATCATGAGTAACATCTTAAACAACGTGGGACCAGGACTGAACATGGTGATTATTAATGGTAAAAAGCTTCCCTGTAGTTTGCTGTTGCAACTAAATATAATATTTGAAAGGAAAAAAAGTTATAATATTGCGCTCAAACATTTGTTCCTAAAGGTCTTGCCTTGTGTTTCATTTTACCTGCCGAACAGAATGTCTATTGTGCTTGTGTGTCTGTTCCTAAAATATCTCATAAAGTATGTCACAACTACATGTAACACAGAAAGTAAGTCATTAGCTGTACACAGGGCGGGCCCSAGCCAATAAGCAAGATTTCAGATGACACCTCTTGTGCAATTTTTTAAGCACATTATGTACATCCACATGCTAAATGAAATAGTTTTGTCCTTGATATTATTTTCCATCTTTAGAAACCATGTTGTCCAAATAAAATAGTTACTATAATTTATTTGAAACAGAATACCACAAGTCTACTCCCTACCTGACAACCTTTTCTGACAGCAATGAAGAACACCTGTTCATGTTAACCAGCAGCTATGGAGTGAAGCAGTTCTAGGGGGGTCCAGAGGTACACTCGCCTGAGACATTTTGTAAAAGATCTATTTAAAACTACATTTTCCAGCCATTTTGAAGAGCATTTGACTCAATTCTTGGGTTTAATGAAACAACATGAAAATCAATACTTCATGAAAATTGAACATTGAAAACCAGACTTGAACCTGAACTTTATCTGAGATCAAAACTGAAACTTCCATTATCCTTTTTTTTCCATTTACACACTGAGCACCAGTTTTGACTTCATCATGATACTTTTATCGCAAAATATCTTCTGAACCATACAAGCTCACGCAGGAGCAAATCAGGCTAAGAAACCCACAGAACATGTTAGAAAACTTAAACCTGAGTATCCAGTGAATGGAACAGACTAAATGAACTATACTCTGATAAAAAGTTATAGAATTTTTTTTTCCTCCTCCATTTGTGGTGCCCCCTGGGTGGATGGCGCCCTTAGCATTTGCCTATACTGCCTATGCCACAGGCCAACGGGTCTAATTGAAACAATTTTACAGATATTAAGCTTAAATTWGCCATTTTGTCATTCATGACATACTCTGAGCATGACATCTTTTTATATTAGACATGTTATTTTTCAAGGTTTGTGTACATTCTTGATATTTTTGGTCGCTGTTTTTCCATTTGCCTGGATTGTAAACCCCCTTTTTTTTTTYCAAAAAACAGGTGAAACTGGAGCTATAGAAAAAGTTGGCTATATCAACGTGATAACAGGAAGTATGGTTTTAAAACATTATTTGAATGAAACAGACATTTAAAGCATTGCCTAACCTTTAGTTTTCTATCTCTTTGAACAACAGAGAGGGCCGACATTCTGGCAAGTTTGAAAGAGATCAAACCAGGAAAGATCGTATTGGTGGCCTCGTTTATCAACGCAGCAACAAAGTAAGACCAAATTGTTTCATTTCACCATTTGTGAAGTGATCCAGTGCCACAAAATGTGACACTTTCTTCCCTTTGTGCTGCAGAATGACAAGACAAATGAGGAACATCTTTGTGGATATGGGGAGCAGTTTGATCCATTCTGTCCGACACAGAGACAACTGGGTGTTTGCTGGAAGGTCTGGGGCCAAAATCAAAAGCAACTTTGAGAAGGTGAACAAACCCTTTCAGTGCTGCTTTATTTGTTCTATTTGTGTCATCTATTTTTGAAAATTGCTAAAAAGGAAAGCAGGATGATTAAAACAAGTTATTCTTTCCCTTCTCACCTGCCAGCAAGCCGTTAATGATGAGAAAATCAACGCTTTTGATGGATGGCCACAGATGGTGGAGGTGGGCGGCTGTTTCCCAAGAAACCTGAATGCCACACAATGAGCTGCAACAAATTAGAGATAGTATTTTTTAAATGTCTTTTGTTGTTGTTTTAAATCAATGGACTTCTGAGATTCCCTTGTAAAAAGACTTAAGCCAACCATTGGTACTCAGAATCATTGGCACCACTGATGTAACTACAAGACCTTGACATCTTTAGACAAAAATGTTTTATTTCAGTAATCCTTACTGTAAAAATGTATAGGAACAAACTGCATTTTTTTGTAGTTATACAATAAAATATACCTTAAACACAATTATTTGCACTCTTTTGATGACTTGTAAGTCGTCCTAACCCTCCTGTTAGGTTYGTTCTGCAGTTTAGGCTTTTGTGTTCCTTATCAAGAATGACAAATCCAGTTATTTCAAGTATAAATCCACAATAACACAAATATTGTCACCTTACCTAATGCTATAATAAATCTTTCCATCAACTTGTTTTCTTTTAAATCTTGTTTGAATTTTATTGCCTGTGGCCTCAATAATCAGAGCTCATGCAACAATGTTTTAAGTAAAATCGAATTTGTTGTCAAAATAATCCATGTGTGCTATTTATCACAGATTACTATGTGTCAAAGATTGTCGTAGACGTTTGTTTTTAAATTGTTTCAAAAATTTTTAATAGAAAAAATGAATATCTTTTGTGTCCTTGTCTAATAAAAGAGGGCAGAGACCCAGAACAATAGCTGAAAGAAAAAAATGAATGAATGAATGAATGAATGAATGAATGAATGAATGAATGAATGAACAAGGCACATAGCAATATTACTGTCTGGTTTCTTAAACAACATCTTTGCCAACTGTTGGATGAATTGTTCATCAAGACACTTGACACAAGGAATGAAAAACAAGCAGCAGATCAGATAACAGATTTATTTACTTGCAGCAAGGAATTCTTATGCAGCTCTTTGCAAACTAGGTAAACAGTATAGGAAGTTAAAGATTCATAGTTGGGCTCTTCACTTTTAAAAAACATTTCTGAGCTCAACTTCTTCATACCATGTTTCTTCTACGTRCTCATTATAAAAATGGTGGCAATAGTCAGTAAAGAGATTAACAAACAGATCAGCATTAGAGCCCTTGTRACTAAATGCATCATAATGTTTTAGATCAGTGGTTCCCAAACTTTTCAGCTTTTGACCCACAAAATACCAGCAGTGGAGCCCTGTGGCCCCAGCTGTTGTTGCATRAACATTGTTTTCACGTCAAATAAATGGGCACAGTAACAATATTTATTACACTCTTTTTGTCCATTTTAAGTACACTTACTTTACTTTTTTGTGACAACAAAGGCAAAAAAATGTTAGTTGTCATTTTCTTAGTGTAATTAATTCAGAAAAAAAACTTTTCAGGACCCCATCTTGATGTTTTGTGACCCCACTGTGGGTCCTAACCCCAACTTTGGGAACCACTGTTTCAGATCACAATTTCACCATCACTAACAAAAGCAGAAAGGATCTGTCAGATGTCACAGTTTTTATGACAGATGCACATGTTGGACAGCACATGCTGATAAATGCATGAACTTTGCATAGAATAAAATATATTCTCACTCTGATATTCTGACGGCAGCCTCAGCAGGATCCTCTTTGTTCATTACTGGACTGGTCCACATCGATGGTCTCTTGGTCTGAATTTTACTTCATTTTCATCTTCTGACACTTTCTTCTCTACAGCATCTTTCATGTCAGGGTCTTGGTCCAAAGTAGGATGGAGAGCATCAATAACAGCATTTTGTTTGGTCGTGCTGACTAAGAACTTAAAATCCTTTGTATACTAGAGCTACCGGGAGAGTCCTACATACACTGAAACAATGTTTGGGAGAATGCCAACAAKTGTGGTGGTTCCATGGAAGTTAATACAGAAGGTGTGTGAACATGGTTTTGTTTCTATTTTTTGACCTTTTCTAAAACCACATRTACTTGYCAGGRTAAGTAGCCCTTATGAAGACACAAACCAGGTCCTAATATGGTGGAACATCATTGGTGGGTTTGAGGAGAAGTTTAGGGTCAAAGTAGAAGTTGAGGGTGGGTTAGATTAGGCACGTACTAGTAACAATTAATTTCACTCAGTTTTTAGAATAGTGGACCAGATTAGTTTTCTGAATTGGAGTCTGAATGTCCAGTCTATGTGCTTTGTGGACCTTAAAAGGCTTGTGTCTCCAGAGTGTTTTGGGATGAGCACTGCAGGAATACATGGTGTTGGTAACACTTTAAAGGTTAGCCGGTCTCTGCAAAAGACCAAAGTCAGTATTGGCTGCCATTTTTCGTCAGTCCCATTTGGGGTGTTCGTGGGCCGGTGCTGAAAGCCCCAGTTTATCGGAGAGGAGGGCGTCTGCTTTGGGAACCTCAAGGTCTCATCTCTGCTTCGTTTCGCGGATGATGCGGTTCAGCTGGACTCTTCAAACCATGACCTTTCAGTGTGCACTGTGGTGGTTGGCAGCCGAGTATGAAGCAGCTGGAATGAGAGTTCGCTCCTCCACATCTGAGCCCATGGTTCTCAACCRGAAAAAATCTCCCTCCGGGTTTGGGGTTAGTTTCTACCTCAAGTGGAGGAGTTCAAGTGTCTTGGTGTCTTGTTCGGGATTCATGACAAATTGAAAGGAGAGATGAGGCGAGGAAATGAATGTTCTTCCAAAAAAAAAAAAAAAAACTACGATTCACCTAAATACTTCGTATTCTCCCAAAATGTAATGTGTTAACTTCTACTACTGCTGTATATGTAATGATTTTGTTTTGGCTGCTGTTTTTCTTTTTCCTTAATCCCCTTTCTTCTATCTACTGAAGCAGTGAGAAATTAAGCTCAGATGCGTGCAAAAACTCTGTCCTGCCTGAGCCGCAGCAGGTGTTTAAGCAGGCACTAAATCTGGAGCCGTGCTGAGGACCTGGCAGCCACCCATGGCAGGAAGGTAAGTTTGCTCCCATCTTCCTCATTTAGCTTATTTCTTCATCAGACATAACATGTGAGTCATTTCACAAAACAACATTAGGATAATCTTGCAGATGCATCCATGTAGCAAAGGATTTATTTTGTTTTTGAGAAGATTAAAAACATAAAAGGAAAAAAAAACTATCTCGCAATATATTCTGTGTCATGACTTCGGTATACAGGATTAYCCACATATGAGACTTAAAACTAATACTTTTATTTCCCTTTTTTTCTGCACTTGTCTCTACCTTTGACGTATTTCCCAAAAGGAAGTGAATGCTTGAACTAAGAGCAGGTCTTTATCCGACTGAAAAGACGCCCACTGAACTGTGAGCCTTGGAGACTGTTTATCCTGTCATGTCCTATTAATTCCTCTCCACACAATCTCCTCAGTGTGAGATTGGCCAAACAGCAGGACTCCCCCTTCATCAACCAAACAGCCGTTGGCAGTGGTATAACCATTAAAGTGCTTCAAGCACTTCTCCAGATAATTTGTCTTCAAGGCAGCTGATTTGCTGCCGTCTTAATGAAGTTTTAATGTGTTGGAGTTTGAAAGCTGGAATTTACATACATATTTGTATACATATGTATATATATATATATATATATA